GCTGCCCAGCTGGCATCTAAGCCCTGGGCAGGCTCTGAGGAGAGGCTCAGCGCCGCGCGGTGAGTGTCCTCAGACACCAGCTGCTCTACACTAGACATGGCACTCTCCAGTCCTGCCTCCTTCCTAGGCAGACAGCCCTGGGTGTGAGGACACATACGCAGGTCTGTGTGGAGCTGAGGTGCTGGGCTCAGAGCCTTGCCCCCCGCCCAGCCTCCCACTGGCAACAGCCCACAAGGGACTTGAACAAGAGCCCCTTTCACGGTGACCCTACAATCCCGCAGGCAGTGTCCTCCCCACGGTTTAGGAGTCACGAGCAGGGCACCCTGCAGGCGCCCACAACCCACCAACACGGCCCAGGAGAGGAGAGGGTTGGGTGCGTGTGGATCTAGATGAGCTGCACCCACAGGGGGACCGTGGGAGCCCCTGGGCACGCGTTGGCTGGCCTTGCCCCTTTGTCCCTTCCTCCCTTCTCTGCCGGCTGGAACTCACGTGGCCACTGTCCTGGCCCGCGAGCCCCATGACGAGGTGGCAGGGCAAGAAGATGGAGGACCTGTCCTCCACCACCGGTGCTCCAGGAGGAGCCACAGGCTCCGACAGTCTCGGAGGTGCCACCAGCGCCACACCACTCACCCCGAGCCGTGCTACGTGAGAGAGAGATGACTCTGTCATCCAGTCCAATCTTCTGGGTTTCCGGCCACTCTGCCCCAACTGCGGCCCTGTGCTCCATACTCCATTTCTCCCCTTCAAGTACCTCCCAGCTCCCCTTTCCTGGGCTCCCTGCACCCTCCCCTCTGGGCAGAATGGCTTCACCAGGACATGGTTGGGCAGGTCACTCCTACCCAACACCCTCCGCCCTCAGGAAGGTTCCAGGCCCCTGGGGGTCCGTTCCCAGCTGCTGCTCAGGCCTCCGTGGTCAGCCCCCACCTGCCACAACAGTCTTTGACAGGCTGTGTCCTCTGCTACTGACACCCTTCCACTGGGGCTTGTCAGCTAAAGGCCACCTCACGGTCCACGGCCAGCTCGGTGTCTCCTCTCGGGCTGCTCACACCCACGTCAGCAGACATATAAACACATTCCCCAGACACTCACCTCCCACCTCGACCCCAGACCAAATGCGGAGCCGCTGCTGGAGTCCCGGAGGTCCCAAGCAAGGGTGCCTGGCTGGGCCCTGCTGCATCCAAAAATTGGGCCCGGCCCAAACCCAGCAGGAGGGCTGCCTGGCCACCCAGGGAGGCCTTACCTTGGCTGGTGGCTTCGTCCCCTCCCAGCTCCGTGCATCCATGGATGGGGGGACCTGGTAGATGTCGTGTCCTATCCCAGCGGAAGGCGGCACCTGGTAGATGTCCTGGGCAGGGCTGCCAGGCCCCGGGGGCACCTGGTAAAGGTCTGGGGCTGGGCTGGGAAATGGGTGATGGGGCATTTGCTTGGAGAACGTGGCTGTCTGCTTGGCCGGGGGAGACTGGAACTGGGGGCTGGGCCCAGGGGCTTGGTAGAGGCCTTGCTGAGTCTTGCTGGGGGTAGGCACCAGGTAGACACTGTCTGGCTGGGGCTGGTACGTGGCAGGCAGCATGGGTGTGTACTGGGCTGCCGGGGGGTGGAGGCTGGGCTGAGGCAGGGCAGAGCTGGTGGGCGGGCCGGGGCCGGGCCCCACGGGCTTCTTGTCATGCATGCCCACCAGGATCTTGAGGCGGTTCCCGGGCACGATGCCTTGGCGCCCGTGCAGCGAGCAGAGCCACCAGCCATCTAGGCCCTGCGTGTCCCGCTCCAGCACCGTCATGATGTCGCCCTTGCGGAAGGAGAGCTCATCTGGGGACTCGGCCACATTGTCGTAGAGGGCTTTGGCCAGCACGTTCTGGGGAAGAGGACACAGGTGGGCGTGAGGGCAGGAGGACGTGCGCTGGGGGCTCGGTGTCCCGCCCAGCTCCCACCCCCTCCAGGACTGGGGAGGCACCTGGCCTTGGCACCGAGAAAGGAACTAAGTAGGGTTTGGCGACATCCCCGCACCTCTGCCCCTGCTGCCCCGGGCGAAAAGGCCCAGCTGATCCCGGCAGTTTTTCAAATGAGCCTGGATAGTGTCTCAAAATCCTCTTGACCACAGCCATCACCTGCACTCCAGGACGGCACTCAAGATACTCTAAAAAATACTCCCGGAGTCACGCTATAAGCTGGACCTAACGCTGGGGAAGGCAGCGATAATGACAATAATGGCCACCACGTCCTGGGGAGAAAACAGGATGCACACCCTCCCCGCTTCAACTCAACTCCCTGCTGCCCCGCCAGTGCAATCAGCCAGGAGGAAAAGACCAGAGACTGGGGAGGGGACACACAGGGACAGAACAGTCATCATCTGCAGACCATATGTCATCTACGTACAGATTCCAACAAACGAGAAGAATCAACAGTGCTGAGGAGGGAACCTCACAAAAAAGCCGTCACCAGATAACAGAAACTACAAGTTATCCAGGAGTTAATCAAGCAAAGACTCCAGAGGAGAAAATGTAACAACTGGGCCAAGCTTACTTAATAAGTTACAACTGCGATAAAAATGCCAGCCCAACTTTCTTTTTTTTTTTTTTTTGGAGGAATTCAACCAAAGGAAAAAAATCCTTCTAGAATTAAGCAGAGGAACAGAGGTCCACAAATAAGCAGGTCAATTCTGAAAATGAAATGCAAAGAGGCACTTCCTTCCTGCTGTGAGGACAGGCCACAACTCCAATCCCTAAGCGGGACAGGTAGCAGCGGCTGGGAACCATGCAGCGATGAGGGGGGCAGGACTGTAACCGAGATGCTACCAGGAAAACTCACTCACCATAGGAAGAAAAGTCAATTTGGACACTTTGCCTCATGTTATAAACAAAGGGGAATCAAACACCTACATGTGAAAGTTATAACCTTAGAGCTGATTAAAGAAAAGAGAGAATATCTCTGTGACCTTGAGGTGGAAAAAAATTATAAACAAAACCCTAGAAAAAAAGACCATAAAAAGCACAAAACATGGGCTTCCCTGGTGGCGCAGGGGTTGGGAGTCTGCCTGCCGATGCAGGGGACATGGGTTCGTGCCCCGGTCCGGGAAGATCCCACATGCCGTGGAGCGGCTGGGCCCGTGAGCCATGGCCGCTGGGCCTGCGTGTCCGGAGCCTGTGCTCCGCAACAGGAAAGGCCACAACAGTGAGAGGCCCGCGTACCGCCAAAAAAAAAAAAAAAAGCACAAAACATAAGGTAACAACAACAGAAACAAAGAGATGGATTCAACCTCATCAAAGTGAACAGTTTCAGTTGGGCGGGGGAACAACAGAAAGCTGACAGGGTGACAGGCCACCAAATGACAAGAGTCACTGATCTAGAATCTGGAGGTTCTCCTACAAACAAGCAAGGAAAAAACAAGAACACCAACAGAAAACCAATAAAATATGAAGAGTTTTCTGAAGGGGAAACCAGAATGGCCAAGATGGCCACAAAGGACGTTCAGGGATCCAGCCAGCAAAGCGGGACAGACCTGTGACTCTGCTCTGTGCTCCAGCAGGTGCCCAGGTGTCTGGTGAGGAACACCAGCCACACCCTCCCGAGTTAGAGGAACAAACAGGAGATCTACAGCCCAGAACGCTTTACGTAAATGTTACGAATACCTACAGAAGAACTCTATGTATTTTTCACAGACACTTGTCCAAGGGCAGATTCCAGACACATTACATTTGCATGGGTGCTTCTGGAAGAGAGACAGGCATCAGGAATAAATGGGGAGAATAAAGCAAAACAAGGAAGCAGTCCCATACAGACTGAGGACAGCCACAGAAGGACAGCACCCCATGCCCAGCCCCGCTCTTTACTCCTGTAATTCTCCTGTTAATTCTCACAGGCACCCCAGAACCGCTATGGGTTCCGTGAGTCGGCAAACCCTCCTGGATCTGGGACACACGCTCCGTGCAGAGGCCCAGTAGCCCAGCAGCCTGTGCAGGCCTTGGCGAGGCTGTGGGGACAGACAGGAGGACCCCAGCATTGGCAGGCACTGTGCCGGCAGGCCCAGAACCTCACTGGGGACAGAGAACCGGGTGGACAGGCCCCACATTTTCAGTCCTTGGCCTCTGCTGCTTGCGCGGGTGAGGGCTCAGGCTGGGCCCAGAGATAGCACAGGGGGGCCCCAGCCAGAGAGCCAAGGTCAGTCCAGCAGAGGGCAGGAGCGAAGCAGGGGCCTGGGTGGGAAGGCCAGGCCTGTGGAGAGGACAGTGCCAGGCCAGCTGGGCACCGGACCCACCAGCCAGGCCTCAGCTCTGGTCGCCCTCCTCTGAGTCTCCTGGGGACTGAAGATGCAGAGCCTGGCCTAGATCTCACTCGGAAATGGGACCTGGGTTCGGACCACCCTTCCCCCCCCGTGGGCCTGGGTCTCATCCCCTGGATTCCAACTGGGGGCAGAGGGAAGTCGGCCTCACCCAAGTCTAGGAGGGCCCACCTCCACACCAGCATCCGGGGCCAGAAGGAGCCCCTCTGAGCTCCGTCTCCCCTGCCCGTCACAGTGAGGATGCGGGAAGAGGACAGAACACCATCAAGGGGGACAGCAGCCCACGGGGGAAGCCGGGGCAGGCAGTGCGTGCTCCAGGCCCAGGACTGCACGCTCAGACTCGGGGGCGCACTGGTGGGAAGCCCACTCCTCCAGGGCAGCTCAGAAGGACCCAGAGGCCAGAAAGCTGGGAGCCAAGAGGGACAAAGCCCAGGGGAGAAGGCAGCCCAGGCAGGCAGCGCACAGAGGGCAGAGCAAGCGAATTCACCCTGCACCAAGGTGAGCGCCAGGGCAAGGGCCCTTGGAACTACTGGTGGCGCCAACACTGTCCACACCACAGTTAGGACGGTTATCACTGCACTGAGGCATAAATGAGTCCTCAATAAAATGTCACTTGAACTTAACAATTGGGGAGAGGGTAATGTTTGAGACAATGGGGGATGCTTTTTCTTCCTGCTTTGCAGAAATTTTCAATTTGTATTTAATGAGCATTTCTTGGTTTGGGGGTTGAAAAAATATATACCCTGAAAAAGAAAACAGTGGACTACTTCCTATGCTCCAAGTCAGGATGGGACGGACAAGGCCGAAGCAGGTCAGAGGCCAAAGCCCCAGGAGGAGCAGATGGGGCGGGGGCTGCCCTGCTGCCCACTGGACTCATGGGTCCCACCCCCAGGCTGCCTGCAGGAAAAGCAAGTTTCCCAAATATGGTCTGCAGCCTGCTCAGGGAATCACACCCCATCAGGGGGGTGGGACACCCAACCCACCCTCCCCCAATGACCCCAGAACACAGAGCCACCCCTCTGGGTCCCCTCAGCCCCTGCCCTGGTGACCACAGGAAGTGCCAGCAGAGTGAGTCACAGGAAAATTCCCCTCCAGCCCAGTCAAAGGGGGCAGGGTGCAGACAGGGGAATGCCCCTCAGAGGCCCCTCACCTCTTAGAGGAGGGCAGCCCAGGGAAGGCTGGCAGAGGGGCTTCGGCCAGGCCCTGCTGGGCAGGGCTGGGCTCTCAGGGAGGCTGGAGAGCTCTGCCAAGGGCAAGGTCCAGCGGGAGGGGGAAGGGGGTGGAGGGAGGGTCCCCTGGACCCAGGAGAGCTGCCCAGGGAGCTACCGGGGCCTCCTGTGCCCAGGGTGGCCAGCTCTCACCTCCTGGGTGTGAGCTCGATGAGCAGTCAAGGCCAATTCCAACTGCAACTGTATAGTCCGGGGAGGCCAGAGCCAGGCTGGGAAGCACCTCTCAGGGTGGGCACGTGGTACCAGGCGCCTGGCACCAGGAGCTCCTCTGCCTGCGTCAGCTGGTGCCCCCTCCCCACGCCGAGCCCCCAAGGCAGGCTCTCCGCAGTCCTGGGCACTGCTGGCGCCGCAGCGCTCCAGCTGGCCAAGCACCCGCCCCTTTGGGCCCCTAAGCCTCTCCAGCTGCTCCTGACACACTCCTCCCTCCAGTGCTGAGCAGCAGCTAAGACCAGACCTGGGCCTGGCTCTCCCTCCCACTGCTGGGGACCTTGGGCAAGTCCCTTAGCCTCTCTGAGCACCCAGATCCCTTGTGTTAAGGTGACAATCCTGGTTTCATAGGGAAGTTCTTTTGTTTAATAAAAGATTCACCTGGCGTCTGCCCTCTGCCAGGTGCTGGGCCAGGCCCTGCAAGACGGTGCAAGCCTAGGTCGACCAGGCCCTTGTCTGCGGGGCTTGCATCCCAGCAGGGCAGGCAGACACAAAACGATATGCCAGGACGGGGGGAATGTGGCATGTGCGACAGGGCCACTACACACAGGACGGCCAGAGGTGGCCTCCCCCAAGGAGGACAGTTCAGATGACTCATGAAGAACGAAAACTAGGCGACCATGAAACCAGCCGGGGAAGGCCATGTGGGCAGAGGGCAGGCATGAGCCAAGACACTGAAATAGGGAAAGGCTGGAGGGGAGACAGGACTGTGGCCCTGGACTGGCAGGCAGGCTGGGCCAGTCACACTGCAGAATGCCTTGGGATGCTGCAGGGAGAGCTCAGTCAGTGTCATCCAAATGGTGGCATCCCACGGCAGAATAAGGCAAAACCCACACCACCTGAGCAT